CACCCAGGCTCTGTCTGAGCATACAGACTGTGATGAAGTTCCTGTGGGCCCAGAAGGTAGGTGAGAGTGGGGATGGCCACACCTCTGTTCACCAAGCAGGTGTAGGGTGTAGTAACAAGAAGAATGTCACACCTTTTCAGTCTTGCAGGCCCTGAGTGTCCTTGGGGTTGCTGGAAAGCAGAACATGTTCTTAAGCCCCAGAAATCTGTGAGAGTGCCATCACTTTGAATATCCAAAATAGTCAAGCCGCAATTTAAACCTACAAAATGGCGGCATCCTCCAGACTGGCAAAAGTCCACAGCTCATTCCACCTTTCTCTTCACCTTCTCTGTTTGTTCCCCAGCCACCGTGCACTGTCCTCTGTGCAGTCCCTGGCTAACAGGGTGATTTTTAGGTTAATTCTTAAGTCCTACCACCACAGGAATCTGCGAGAACGCTGTCTCTTTAAATATCCAAAATAGTCAAGTCGCTTTTTAAACCTAAAAAATGGTGGCGTCCTCCGGATCGGCAAAAGTCCACAGCTCAGCCCACCTTTCTCTTCACCTTCTCCGTTTGTTCACCAGCCACTGTGCACAGTCTTCCGTGCAGTACCTGGCTATCAGGGTGATTTTTTGGTTAATTCTTAGGTCCTACCACCACTCGGGAGTCTCCAAGCCCTGTTGTCTGTGCTGTCAGTGTCACTCAGGCCGCTGCCAGACCACAGCTCCATGTGTCTCCATTTTTGGTATTTTCACACAAATTCTTCCGCTAGTTGGGGTTTAGTCCACTTTTGTATCTTTCCCTTCAAGGTTCGGGGTCCAAGATTATCTTCTGTGTCTGTGTTAATTGGTTTCCCTTTTCTTTGTAGAAGAGCATCTGTGCAGTCCTTCTGCCTAGTCCGCCATCTTGTTGGAACTCCAATTAGATCACTTTTAATATTGATAGTGTACAAGGTTGAATGGTAGCCTCCCCAAAGATAATCCATATAAAAGGCTTAGAATATTACCATATTCAGAAAAAGTGGCCTTTGCAGATGTAATTGAGTTAAGGATTTTGAGATGAGGGGATTATCCTAGATTATCCTGGAGGCTCTGAATCCAAGAGTCCTTATGAGAGAAAGGCAGAAAGAGATTTGACACAGACAGAACATAAGACAAAGATACAAAGGAAAATGCCATATGAAGATAGAAGCAGAGATTGGAGTGATGCAGCCACAAGCTAAGAAATACCAACAGCCACCAGAGGCTGGATGAGGCTCTGAAAGAGTAGAAGAGAGTGGAACCATGTCAACACCTTGCTTTTGGACTTCTGGCCTCTAGAATTGTTCAAGAATAAGTGCCTGCTGTTTTAAACCACCAAGTTTATGGTAATTTGTTACAGGAGACATGGGAAACTAATATAGATGGTTTTACTTGATCATGGAATGTCCTCTGGCCCTGATCCTCCCAAGAGCATTTAGAACTCAGGTTAGAATTCACAGCTGGTGGGTCCCTGGGTGGTACAAACAATTATCCAAAGGTTGGAAGTTTGAGTCCACCCAAAGGTGCCTTAGGAGAAAAGCCTGGTGATCTATTTCTGAAAAACTAGCTGCAGTGTAGTGAATTACATGGTATGGCTTTTCTAGCTATAATCTTTGTAACTCCCACCACATTACTGTGTGGGACTATGTAAATATGTGCCAACTTGTCTGGGCAGCTGGTAGTAGTTATTCCCTATAATAATCAGACTGGCAAGTAACTCTGTGGTGGAATTTGCCATAAGAAACTGAGAAACTGCTTTTAAACTCCTGATTGTTAAAGTCATCCACCTGGGGTATTTCTGTTGGAGCAGCATAAAGTAATCTTCTG